CTCACAGGTAAAAATCTTTCATTTCTTACATTTACTGTTTCTGTAACACTTCTGGCTTGCTAGCAAATACTCCTCTTCAAGAAAACTAGAAGGAAAAGTCTTTTCCTGCCTTTTAAGGACCAACTGATAAATCCATTACAAGACAAATTCATTCAGCAAAGACCAGAGGTCGGCAAAGAAGTCGTAAGTGTCAAGGAACAGTTCAGTCATATTTTGACAAATCAGCAATCCATTCCTAAACACACCATACACGAGTGCTTCCCTCCAGAAGAAGAAAAGAAAAAACCAAACATTAATTCACACAGCTTTTAGTAAGGCAGCACCAATTACAACGAGGGCACGCCAACAGGGCACGCTTTTTCCTTTTTATGCCCTCTGAGTGAGGTATGCTCAGTCCCCAGGGAAGCCAACAGACTTTGCTTGGCTAACTTGCAAATGTATGTTCAGGCTAAACCACAGAATGATCACAGGCACAATCTACATGACTGTGTCATGATACGCTAAAGCACACCACTAATCAGTCTTTGCAAAAAGCACCTAATTCCCATGTGGAAGTTTTAGCCATTGGAGCAGGTGTGACTAATCTTCCTGACCCATCAGGCCCCATGTCAAAAAGTTCACACATTGAACTCTGCAAGAGAAGCAATTTGGAGGCTGAGGCCAGTTTACCTCCAAGGAATAGATGAAAACTGCTCTCCAGGACATCCACCACTCCACTGTTAAGGTAAAACAGACCCCCAAGCCCTCAGCAACAGGCAGCGTACCCTCCACTGGCACCCTCCTGGTGAGATTCTGACCATTCAGCAGTCCTGGGCCAAGGACTGTCCCCCCCTGCGCTGGGCACAGGGCAAGGAAGAGGAGAAAGCTTAATCCTCATTCTATGATTTCTCCACTGCTGTGACCTCACCTTCTTATATTCCAGCCATATTTGCAGTGAATGCTAAGAATCTTTTACTTTTCATGGATTTATTTTTCTCCTCCTGACCATAATCTCAGAGCAGATTGGACAGTACATTCAGCTAACGAACCTGTCTGATCAAAGAAGAGTTTCTTCAAGAATGGTTGCTTTGCAAATCTATCTCTATTCAAGAAGTTTATCAAAATAGCATTACAGCCAAAACCAGCCTCTCTGTCAAAGACTGGGACTTTCCAGTTTCCTGTTGCCACCTGCTGGTGGAGTTCCAGACTCCACTGTGATTTCCTTGTGTGTGTGTGGTATGAACCAGTCCATTATATTTAAAACACTTGTAAAGCTTTTGGCTATGACCATCACGTGCGTGCAGCTGTTAAGTGACTCCAGTTGTCAGAGATGGGTTAGGACCCAGGCTAGACCTAAGTAGTTTGGAATGTGTTGGTTAACACTCATCCTTAATTTGCTCTGCTTGAAAAATTAACAGCTTCGCCTGTATTTTCTTTCAAACATAAGTAGCTCCCTGAAATCATTAGGACTTCAAAGAAGGGGAAAGCTAGGCCAGCAAAGCTTCATCTCAGCGTTTTCTACTGCTACTGCTTCACAATAGTTTTAAGATCCCCCCAAAAACAGTAATCAAAAAGCCACAAACTCAAGGGCAAGAGCATATATTGACTGAGAAACCACACTGAAGTTTCCTTAAAGAAATGGTACCCAAACTCCCAAACACAGCAGTGTGCAAACTGAACCATCCTCTGCACTGAGACGTGCAACAGAAAGCACGGTGCAATCCCCTTCATACGCACAATACACCTGGCACATTCCAGCTGCATCAGATACCACTACTGTACTAGTACACGGGTCACCAAGAGTAACGTAGGCTAAGAATTAGTCCTTTGCCTCCAGAAACTTTAATCCAGCCTACAGACCTCATCCTGTCCACATGAAGAAAAGGAACACGGGAATGAACCTGATTAATTGTCCTGGTGGGCCAGATCCAGCTGTACATAAGGCTCCCTCACAAAGGGGAAGATATTGAGGAGGGATTGTGCTAGGCACTGAATGAATAGCGTTGAAGAACACAATTAGCTCTAAGAATCAGGAAAAAAGGCAAATATTTCAATCATTTTACTAACAGACACAAGAGTGGAACTGGTAAAATTTTAACCCGCGCTGTGTACCTGACACAGGGGAGCAAAAACAGGGATCTGAAGCAGTGAAGGGAGATGAGAAAATGGCAGGAAGGCAGTAACAAAGCTAATTCATTAGTAGCATAGAGATTTAATACCATAACACTTGAAATGTAATGAAGTACCTCAAATTCTTCCCAGAAGCCCTGCTTGACTTTATCCGTAGTCTCTGCTAGCTTGCTTAGCTCTCGCACTCGGCTTTCGATCTCTGCAGCGTTAATACGGGTAGTATTCAGGGGCTAAGAAAGATACAGATATAAAACAAAGGTGTAACAAGTCACGACTGTGAGAAGACAGTTAAAACAGCAATCCCCTGCACTAAGTATATTTTATACAGGCGATTATAGGATCCAGGCATCTCTTTGGACTTCAAAACTTTATGATTCATACAATGAAGGGCAGTGAGGGTAGACAGGAACGGGGCAGGAAATAATTGCTTTTAGCTGAAGTCTCACAGTTGTTCTTCAGTACATTAAGTTGTATCGTTTCTGGACTAGTCCTACAATCCCCATGGACCACGATGAGACCAAGAGAAGTTCTGCATGCATCAGAGACAAGAGCCTATCCTTCACAGGCATATAAAAAATTGTTCCTATTTAAGTGACTGACTTGGTCATACAGTTTCACAAAGTTTAATTCTTCATTTTTGCATTAGGAAAGAAAAAAAAAAATTATGTCTCACAGGACACATGGAAAAGCCTGCACATCAACAGTAGATGCTGAAGGTAACAAAGCTTAGCAGTGTCTCCTCCATTCGCTCACCTGCTTGAGTTGCAGTACTGTGCCCAAAGTTTCTACCATAGGGTTCTTCTTGTAATGTTCCACTAGATCTGTCAGAGAGTCAAACTTCTCCCCTCCACCAACATCGTACTTTAGATCCTTCAAAGACAGATATCAAAATAAATGCACTTCATATGAAGTCTACTCTAATATCATCTTCAGGTGATGCAACATGAGAAATTCTCTTTAAAGCCTTATGTAGAATAATTTAGTAAAATCCTTTGCTAAGGGATGGTAGAACCTTAATAAAAAGAAACACATGCTGTGGAGGACGTTATTCTTTTTGTCATCTAATTGAAAAACATTTTGTCTGCCTTTCGGGAGCAGATTCCTTCTGAACTGAGGTTCAGTCAGCTCAAGCAGACTACCTGAGCTACAGGATTAGAAACCAGGAGATAGCCTTGGAAATCAATTCAAATTCCTAAAAGAGTATCATTGGCTCCTGAAAGGCTGGTACTGCCTGCCACCACCCCTATTTTAAGAAAGCCATGCTACGTTATTTTCCTCAATGTCATAAAGGCTACTAGTAGTTAACTGCAAATCAAAGAGGTTTCTGCAAAAAAATAATTTCTATTAGTTTAGCTTTTACAGCCTTGGTAGGCCACTGCTATCTCCAAACTATTTCTGTTATCATATTTTAATTGTTTTTAAACAATTAAGATGTTGCCCTGTCTTTTGAGATAACAGAAGAAAATGACAAAATCTGTGATTATTTTCTTTAATAGCAACCCATGGGCAGATATGAAAACATCATAAGATTATAATTTAATAATACTTCAGTGAAGAACTACCCTAGATTAAATTCAAGCTTTAGATTTCAAACTGTTCCTTGGATTCAATACTCAAAATTTCTTACAGGATGTAGATCATCTATCAGGTGCAACTTCATGAACTGACAGGAGAAACAGAAATACCCGGGTGGATCTCTATTTGTCCAATTACTCATATTTTTATATAGTTTATCCAGGAGACTGCAACTCACTTAAGAAGATTCATGAACATGAAAGGCTCCATCAGCAGAGGATTTGAGACAGACTTCTGATGCAATCAAAAGCAAATCTATTAGAAAGGTACTTGACAGCATAGTATAGTATGACATGATTCAGTCAGGCAAGCAGTCAAAAAAAATAAAACGCTAATAGAATTTTGATGCTATCAAATTAGTGAATTTGATCAAACAGATGATGGATAGCACATAGAGCACCACAGGGAAAAGGGAAATGTATTCAGCTCTCCGTAGCAAAGTGCAAGACAGCCCTCCTGTTAGAATAAACCCACTGCCCATGGAAGTAGCCCTGTTAAAGAAGCTCGTGCTTCATCATACCTGGCAGTGAATCATGACGTGTGTCACTTTAGATTTCCCATCATTACTTTCTCCTTTATCATCTCCTGTCCGGACAGAGAGAACAAAGTCCCCAGGGTGGCTTTGACTCTCACGCACAAGAAAGCTTCCATGTTTTCCTTTTTCTGTTAATAGTTTTTCAGCTTCTCTTCCAGAGAGATGCCCGTGAAACCACCTTTAAATAAAGTAAGATATAGACAGATACCCCACTTGTCATTCCAGCCATGGCTGAATCTGCTTCTTCTAAATATTTATAATAAAGTAAATGCTTATGTACACTAAACAACAGTGTCCAGGTCTACAGAAACCTCAGTTTATAAAACTAAAAAAATCCAAAATAAGCCTTGGCAGTGTCTATGTACATACACACCAGTGATTACAGAAACACTTCAAACCAAGCACTTCCATAAGCACTGAAAGCAGCATTTCACACAAGCTTCAAATGAAGCTTTGATTTGGATTCTTTACAGCAGTCCAAATGGGTTCCCTCGTGTCCAACAAACACGAGCTTACACAGCAACTTTTTCCTCAGTCAAGGCATTAATTCTTCTTTTATTTCCTTCATGAGGATGCACTTTGCTGATAAACCTGAGGACCCTAGCATCTTCGAGACCCTAACCTTCCATCACATTAGGTACTGGACAAGATAATCACATCAATCTCCTTTCTTCAAGAAACATGGCCAAAAAGGCAATAATCCTCCCCACTACTGTTAAATACAAGCCATTCTGAGAAGGGACATAACTTGTTTTAATATTTTTCCTTGTTTTTTCACTTCTGAGAATAAACTGATATCTACTGGCCAGAGAGGTTTATTTATTTACACATACTTCCTCAGCACACATCGAGTCTGAAGTCTCAGATTCTCCTTACTATCCATGCTCCTACAAACAGGAGTTTGAGCAACTTGAGGATCTGCATGTCGTTCACTTTCTTACACATAGACTTGCTGCTGGAAAAACTGTATAAAGTTATGCCCAGCAATACACCTGGGAATTCCTTGCTGTTGTAACAACTTCAGGAAGCTTTAGGAGAACTTCTGAAATAAAACATTCTCCCAGTAAAAATAAAGGGAACTATGCCCTCTTTTTCGGTATTGTATCACACCAGGAAGAACGCTGAAGAAAACAGGTTCTGGGGCTTAGATTGTTTTACCTTTAATCATGTTTATTAGTCTACTTTGCAAGTAATATCACTGAAATCAATGGAACCACTTTTAGTACAAGACAGAGGCCACCCTTTCATCAAATGGAAGCTGACTGTAGCATTAATACGGAAAAAACATGCAGTTATTAAGTGCATGGACACTGAGGTTTTCACCACAATTTCTCTGACCTTTCAGATGTAGGATCAGCACAGTTCAGTGGATATTTCAACTCTATAACATCTCCGTTCTTCTCCTTGAGCTGTCCATGATGTTCCATATAATACTGGACTAACTCAGCCAATGTAGCAAACTTCTCTCCTCCATAGAGGTCATAGTAGTCTCCTGTGTTCTGGATCTTGATGTGGGTGACAGCTCCAGTTCGCCTGATATTTGAAACAAAGGAAAAAAACCACCCATACAAGTCAGCTGATTTCTAATCCATCGATTTAATATTTAGCGATCTGTTGTCCAAGTTAGAGAAATCCATACTCACATTTGCATCGCTTTCCAACTGAAATATTGCAGAATAGCTAAGCTAGTGCACCTCTGAAGTGTGCTTCAGCCACATTTCAGTGGCTTGCAAGAAGGGGAACTGGCTGTTCAACAGTCAGGAAGGATAGGAAAAAAAAACCACCTTAATTCCGTAACAAAGGAATCCTCGAAGCCAGCATCAGCTCTGTGGCCTCGATCTGCAGCAGAAATCCCTCAGACCCCGCAAGAATTGCACATGCAAGCACAAGGGGTGTAGGGGCGAGAAGAATTCACCCATCAGAGCTCATTTGCTTCTTTTTCCCTAGAATTTCACACTAACTGCTCAGATCTCCCCTTCAGTAAACAGTTGCCTTTGCCTGATGCAAATCATTTGCTCCCACGGCCTCTAGCATTAATGAAGAACAGCTCTCTGAAAGAGAACCTTCTGTTCAACAAGGCCCATTATCTCAAAGGTATCCAAGCAGCACTATTCTTATCACCAATCCCACTTTTCCCTTTTCCTTTATCTACTTCCTCTTGCCTTTCCCCATCCCTACCACTATACACACAGCGTCAGGGGAAAAGCGTTACAAAAGGCCTATTTTGGAAGCTGAAACAGCACCACAGTTGCCCTTAAAAACTTGCTGACTTTTCCTGTAAGAAGAGAATTAGGATAGCATTTGCTGGCACGTGCTCAATCAGTAATTCATATCATCTCTGCTACTTTCAGATGGTTATCAAATAGATTTTTAAAGGGCTAAAAGTAATGCTATTATGAATCTACTTCTGCTTCCCCCTAACTTTTTCTGTTTCTCTGCAGAATCAGAATTCACCGCATTCCAACCTATAGCTTCCCCAAGTTGGGTAAAAGTATTTGAGAACCTCTTAGTCTCTTGTCCATGAAGAAGTGATCCACAGAGTCTTTCATCTCTTTCAAGTAGTTCATTTACAACTCTTGCCCCATAGAACACCATCAAATGCAGACTCTTACCAATTTGGGGAGAAAGACAAACATTTAAACTTACCTAACGGAGAGCGTAAAGTCTCCTGGGTTACTTTTGCTGGGCCGTGCCAGAAAACTGCCATCAACTCCTCTTGTTAACAGTAGGTTTTCTGCCTCCACCCCCGTAATATTTGGATGAAACCATCTATAAAAGGTTAACAAGTGTTAATAAATAAATAGAAGATTGTCTGGTTTTCAGAGTTAACTTACATGACAAGACTAAACAGAACAATCCAACAGCTTCGCAACCAGGAAATACTGAATTTTGTTCCTAAATTAATATCTGTCTTAGCAGAAAGCATAAATTGTTCGTTTCGTATTACACTGCAATTTTACATATTGGTAAGAGACGCTTTGCAAGTGGAAGAGATGTAGCTATACGTATTCAGACCGCCTGGATTAAAATGATATCAAAGAAAGGTCTACAATATAAACAGAGCCCACGAATCATGCATTTTCCTTACTCCTGAAAGACAAGACACACAAAGAAAATGAAATACAATCAGGAAAAATACTTAAAAATAAACCAAAACATCCAAACTGACACTTGACAACACTTTAAAGGTTAAAAATTTAACAAAACCTCATGGTTTAGGGCACAGGCTGACCACCAGCTGATAGGGGTCAGGAAGGAACTTCACTTGTGGACAACCTATTCAGTTGCCCGGTCTTCTTCTGCCTTCCTCAAGAGAACGTGGTGCTGACTGCTGCCAGACACGAGTGCGACGCTCTGCCTTCTAACTACCATGGCAATTTCTCTGGTCCGAATATATCCCACTTAAATACAAACACCGAGGAATCTCATATTGATATTCACCACCCACAAACAGCCTTCCGAATGACTAATATAGCGCCCTGCCAAAGGAGAGCTGTATATGGTCTATACCAAAGAAGCTCAGTGTCCCCACCTATGGCATTAACTTTTGAGAGACTTATTCTTAGCCATTCAGTTACCACATCTGCGTTTCCTCTTATCTGTAATTGAGGATTTTTATTGCACTCTTGCAGTACTAAACTACACCTGTGTGTTCTGGATGAAAGGAGGCACAGTTTTAGAAGACAAACTTAAAAAAAAACCAAACAAAACAAAAAAACCCACCACACAGCAACTAAGAACTGCTGTAGTGGATTGGTCAGACTTGCATTTGGCAATGAAAACCCACCACACAGCACAGGGACAGAGATGTGAACACAGCAACTAAGAACTGTTGTAGTGGATTGGTCAGACTTGCATTTGGCAATGAAAAGATCACCTTTATTTTTCAGAGTTGCCAAAAATCAGACACAATGCAGGGCACATCCATATCTGCAGAAAGAGCATAGGATGCTCCTCTTTGTACACGAGGTCCTTAATTTCTCCAACATAAAGCAAAACACTAAGGCAGAAGACCCTGCAACCAGTCTCATCACAGATACGAGTGCTGCATCGCAAAAAAAAATTGCATAGCATTTCTGATCGCTCCTCATACAGTCAGCATTTCATGCTAAATTGCTAAAACAGCAAAATATGCAAGTGCACGTCTAAATTTAGGGTTATTACTTGAATTGTTTCAGCAGTTTCTTCTATATTGAAAAATTAACAATATGGCTACCAAGGCCCTACCCAGCCTATTCTCTTCAGGCAAGGATTCTCATGGAAACACTGGGGAGTTTTAGTGATTCCAGAACATACAAACCTCTAGCAAGTCATTCAAATGGGAATTAGGATTACTTATGAACCGATTCCACTTCAGAAGTAAATGATTCTCCTTGTTAATCTTGCTTTTTTTTTTTTTTCCTAGTTAAGGATATTCTGCAAGCACCAAGAAAATCTAGCGAATAGTGCCATATCTTGAACCAAACAACAACAAAAATCAAACCTGGACATGACAGGTCATGAAAAAAATACTTCCAAGTTATTACAGCAAATGGGAATGAATTAATAAATAATGCCATCTTTATCTAATGACTACTCAAAAGTCAAAAAAGATTCTGTTTTGATGCAGCCTCATAAAAGAAACCGCACAAGCATCAGCACCTGGGATGAATCGAAGATTAAATAATGTATTGCAGAATATGACAGGTTGGTCTGCAGAAGCTGGTAAGGTATTTACCACACTTCCACCTCCAAAATTTGATTTCCCTTAGGAGAAAACAAAAACCAAACAAAGTGCAGCAATGTTTTGAACAGCTTATAAGCTTTTTAAATACATGTTGGATTCAAGAGACATCTTTGCAAGTTTTTGAGTTTATATCCAAAAATGTATAAAAATACAAAGAAGAAATTATTGGTATCAGCCCTACAGAGTTATCGCATGGTGACATACCATAAACTTTAATTAATATATCTTCGGTATCTTACCCGAAACTCTAATGCATCTGGAAGTAACTGGACACGAGTTGTTAAAAAGATGTAAAATAACAGAAAAATAATTTAAGGAGCAAAAGGGCTTACAAATATCTTGTGCTTAAAGGAGAGGCTTAAAAGATGATAGATTGTTTAAAATCAAAACTCTCGCCCCCACACAAACATACGTTCCTACTGAAGATGGCAAATAGTAAGTACGTGTAGCAGAAGAGAGGCTACACCTGGGAGAGCGATGGAGTTCATTGCACTTTATGTAACTTTCATTCTAACGGTAACTTGTACTCCTGCTCTCTCATCTTTGTATTTTTGGCTTTGAGTAGGAAGATGCATTTGTCAGCCACCCCAAATAGAAAAATGGGGGTGTTAGTGATCTCTGTTAAATGGTTCCGGCCCGGTGATCAGGATCACTTCATTTGAAGTACTGCCATCACATGTGTGCTTTTGAACCTTGGTGGCTACATCCCTTCCAAAACTGGAGGAGAGAGCAAAGGGGACCGCAGACACAGATACCAGTAACATAAGCCCTACGGAGAACTTTCTCTTACACTTCCTTTTATAGGGATGGAATGCATTTTAGCCTTTTTTTCTGCTTTCCTTCTTCAACCTCTATTATGAGCAGGTGCAGAGGCTATCCCAAGCAAAGGACATCGCAGCCAATAAATACAATCAAGAAAGTAACACACGCACATGTAAACCCACGCTCTAATTAAACTGGCTGTCCTCACTATGCATGGAATACTCCTTACAGCAATTCCAATTCGGGGGGTTCAGCAGCAAACCATTCCCAGTCCCTTATTGGTAAAAAAAAATTGGCAGAAAAGTAACCAGTGAAATAGTGGGGGGCTCATTTACAAAAGTAGGGGGGTATCAGCTAAGCAAGAAGCCTTGTGATGAAGATTAATACATGGTAAGAAATACAGCCTTGCTACAATTGTCTTTTCTTTTTGTTAGCATAGTCCAGAAAAGATCAGCAGGATTTGCGTTTTGTAAGTCATACATTGCCAGCAATTATCAAATTGAAGAGAGAAAAGAAAAAAAAAAAATCAATACATTTTTCCATGCTGTGATTGGGCTTTTCTAATCACCTTTTCAAGAGCAGGGAGATTAAATCAGTTCTGAGACTCAGCTGTCATAACAGCAGCATTCGGGGAGGCAGTGACTGGTAGTTTAATTACTCCTATTTATAGGCTCATCAGTTTATATTTCTCATCTTCTTTCAGTCTCCCTCACAAGTTACAATTTAAACTTGTGAGCAGAATAAGAGGATTACTCCTGACAACGATGAAGTTCGCAAGTGTTTCTAACAGGTAACTTCTGTACTTGTCCTGATGTGCAAGCAGGGACATTCAGAAAACCTGACACATCCTAGAGATCCTCCACATGCTTCAGAAGACCCCAAATCAGCTATAAACGGCCACGATCTGAAAACCAACCCATCTAGTTTCAACCATCTTAAGCAGAACAAGACAAAGGACAACTTGACGCTGAAGTTACACTTGAATAGACGCTCCTTAGAGATGTATCAAATTTCAGAGGAAGTATGTTAGATGAGCATATAAACATCTTTTTCCTTTGTATGACAGTAATTCCTCTGAAGCCTAACGTTTACCTTAACCTCTCAATCCAAAGAGGGCTGCTAAAATAAGACAAGCATCGTAATATGTTAAGAACAGCAAGAAGCTACAACAAAGAAAAAAGATTCAACTATTTATCCTGATTTTGCAATGCCAAAAGGTTTTGAAATTAAACTGAATGCTGCTAATAAACCAAGTGCCCAGATCAGGTCCGCTCACAAAGGTTCGCTTTAATGTTGGCTCGGTTTTAGTTTCAGGAACGTCCCTAGTGCCGGACTACCAAGCAGCAGCGACCCTCTGCGGCCTCGGATTCTGGACTGAGCACCGCGAGGGTCGCCACACGAACAAAACCCATCTCGGCTCCGGTTCAAAGGCGCAGGGGGGTGCGGGGAAGCTCGCTTGAACCGCC